CTTGAACATCACGCTGCTTTTTTCGAAGTTTCTCAAGAACCATTCGAGCCACAGAATTCGTTTTGGCATCGTTGGATAGAGAATTGAAAAGCCGACCCTCACGCTATGTTTGGGAGAAGTTTCAACCAAAAAAATGTTTGTGCAACGACCCTATTTGGCTAAGTATGTACGAAACCCTAAATACAAAACTGCATGCACTTTGCACTTGCACTAAACTTTTAAATCCTTTTGATGCTGGCTAGCACGTGCAAATAACTTAAAAAAACTGGAAAACTCGTTCTTACGAGTTTAGAGCCTGAGCCAAACTAATGTTTCCAAAGTACCTATTCAGTATTTGCACAATCAATTATCATGTCCACAAGCGAATCTGGTTATCTTATCAAGGTTTCCTTGGAACTCGGAGCAATTAGAACCTGTGCAGCCGCCATTAAATTGCTAGTGTTCGCGTAAATAATATAACGCAATTAGTGTCGGTTTGAGTTCAAATTCCAGCGAAGAGGTAAAAATCCGCAACGCTATTTTTATACTTTTAACTAGGTCGAAGTCCTGAATATCATTTGAGAGAGTTGTGTTCCTTTTCACATTGTCCCAGTGGATTTTATGGCCTCAGCTAAAAAAAATCAGCGTTTTGAATGCTTGAAAAGACGATTTGTGCTTGCTTCGTTACTATTTATATCTTGTTTGTAAGAAAAGTAAGTAAAGAGAAAATGACCTGGCGTATGTTAATGGAAATGCATTTCGGTTTGTTTCTGAAAGGTCGAATTCTTGGAAACAACACTCATTGGACCAGTGATTTTTAATATAATTATCGAAAATCCTTGGCATTCCACTGATTCATCCATCACTGCCAAAACGCATGTTATTATTATTGTTGTTGGGAACAGCTGTTGTTTTGTTGACAATGTTTCTGAGTGGCCTGGCAATAGGGCTTAAAATTTAAAAAAATCTGAAATTCGAATGTTCGTTTAGTGGTTTATTCCAATAGTAAAATTATTCGAATACTCGAATATCTAACGAATATTCGCATACAGTTGAGTCCGGATATAACAAACTTGAAAAATGAACTAAAACTGGTTTGTTATATCCGGAGTTCGCTATAAGCGAATAATAATACAACAAGACGTGGTGTATTTTATTTCGTTATTTTTACATAGAGTAGTAGATGTTAGTAGGTATGACTAAAAAGAACACAAAAAGGTGAACAAAATTCAATTTGAAATCTACTTCATAAAGTCTGTAATTTTTGTTTGTACATTTCTGCTGCAAAAATAGATGTTATTAATGTAGTTTTCAAGATCGCAAAATGACTTCCAGGTATGATTAGGAACTTGGCGTGATTGTAGAAAATTCCGAGTTTCTGACACGTTTTTGTCATTTCAGAAATGGTTGGAACAGCATTAGTGTCTACAGTAGAATACGTTTCACCTAAATCGTCATCTTTCACCTAAATCGTCATCGTCTCATTATCGCTTAAAGCTGTAGATGCGTCTGAGTCTATAATTTGCTCATCGGTCAACATTTCTCTTGTAAGAATGCCATTATCAATGCTCACATATTCGAAGAAATTGAAATCACTCAATTTGGTTTTAACTTGTTCTTCGACAACATTGGGACATCTTCGTCTGTGTCATACTCGTAGTCAGAATCTCTATACTTTTCTAACCATTCGTTAAGTGGAATTTCATCGTCTGGTTCGTAATCATTTTCTTTTGCTCAAAGCAATTTGCAATGGTTTTTCGGCTAACTTTTTGCCAAGCT